CTTTATGTATTGTATTATCTCTGACTCCCTATTCATAATAATGAATATTTTTAGTTTGAGTTAATTAGAAAAATTACTTTCTAGTTATTTTCTTATTCGTTTATTCTTAGCTTGCTGATACATTTCATACTGTTGGCTTCATTATTAGTATCATTATGAATCAACCCTTAACTTTGAGTTTATATCACATAGTTTATCAAGATATTAGCACCATATCTTTCTTCTCTGTCCATTATTTATTTCATATAAATGTATATATATATATATATATATATATATATATATATATATATATATATATATATTAAAAAAGAATTGTTAGTCATCTCTATAACCCTCTTTAACCTATAAATAACTATATGACATAGTGAATAAAAGTGCTTTTTTTTCTTAATTAAGAAAAAAAAACAAAAAAATAAAAACAAAAACGAAGTTTTTTTTTCATTTTATCTATATTGTTTATCAGCATAGTTTCACGTTGTCGATATTAAATGAAGTGTGATTCTGAAGTTGTTGTTGTTGTTGTAGTTGTTTTTAACGTTCTCAAATGGATATTATGAATTTATAGACAGAGTTATATTCAGTGTTTGAATCCATTATGTAATTCTATATTAAATGAAAGTTGAAAGTAATGAAAACATAATCAATTCTGGGTTAAGGATGCTTTAATCTATGAGCTTTGTGATGGATGATATATACTGATATGTATCATATAAGCTATTGTTTGTAAACAGGATTGAATATATGTAAGATGATATAAATGGAAGGATGTAGGATTTTACAAGTCAGCTAAAGGATTGAGATCGCAAGTATTCTATGATTTATACTTAGCAAATCTATTCTTTGTTTGATCTATTAAAAAAGAAACTCTTTGTATCTTACTTACTTACGTCTGTTATTCCCAATAGAGCATAGGCCTCCGACTAGCATTCTCCAACGAACTGGGTTTTGCTTCCCAGTTCTATCCGATTTTTGTTCATTCTTTTCATTTCCATGGCCTTTGGTCTTTCTTTCCTCCTTTGGCCTTGAGGATTTCGAGTGAGGGCTTGCCTTGTGATGCAGTTTGGTGCTTTCTTCAATGTGTGTGCTATCCACTTCCAGCGCTTCTTCCTGATTTCTTCCTCCACTGGCATCTGGTTTGTTCTCTCCTACAATAGGTTGTTGGTGATAGTGTCTGGCCAACGAATCCGAAGTATTTTGCGTAGACACCTGTTAATAAACATTTATATCTTCTGGCTCATGGCTTTTGTAGTTCTCCAGGTTCCCGCCCCATACGGTAGAACTTTCTTGACATTTTTATTGAAAATTCTGACTTTGGTGTTGGTTGGCAGATAGTTGTTTTGAGTTCCAAATGTGCTTCAGTTGTAAATATGCTGCTGTTACTTTGCTGATCCGCGCCTTTACATCTGCATCAGATCCACTGTGTTCATCAATGATGCTGCCCAGATATGTAAAGATTTGACATCTTCCAAATGTTCTCTGTCAAGTGTGATTGGATTGTTGCGCGCTGTGTTGTATCGGAGAATCGTGCTTTTCCCTTTGTGTATGTTGAGACCTACTACTGCTAAGGCTGTTTCTACACTGGTCGTCTTTTCCTGTATTTGTCGTTGCATGTGCGATAGAAGAGCCAGATCATCTGCGAAGTCTAGATCTTCAAACTGCATTCTAGCTGTCCACTGTATCCCAAAACGCTAACCAGAAAAAAAAATCATTCTTTGTATCTATTAAACATTTTGTTCAGTATAGCTTCTTTTACGGAAGAATCCTGGTAGTAAGTGAATCTATTGAATGACTACTGTATTTGAAAAATGTTCTATCTCAATGATTCATATTAAATAACACTGGCATTTAATTCATTTTGTGATCTATATTACTGACATAAGTAGCATCTCAATAGTTGAAATCATGAATCAATTGAAGCTAGACCACCATGGGAAACCTGGAAGCACTGGACGGCCGTTTCGTCCTAGTATGGGACTCCTCAGCTGTGCGCATCCACGATCCCGCTCCTCGCGAGATTCGAACCCAGGACCTATCAGTCGTGGATGCTCACTGCTGCGGAGTTCCATACTAGGACGAAACGGCCGTCCAGTGCTTCCAGGTTTCCCATGGTGGTCTAGCTTCAATTGATTCATGATTTCAACTATTGAAATTACCAATTCTCCACAAAACCCATTCTTCTAATAAGTAGTATCTATCATTCGATAATGGAAACGCCTTACTTTTCTATGAATGATTTACATGTTTATTCATTCATATTGAAATGTAGAACATCATGTTTGAAATATCATCTAAAAGTTAAACTGTATAATAGTAATTTGTTGACGTTAGTTTAACTGTATTGATAACGATGAAGTAAAGCTGAGATGCTTATTTATTGAGTAATTTAAACTATTTTTACTTGTATTTAATATAGAGTTGTTATGTATTCAACTTTTCAATACTTCATTTAGTTTTGATAGTTTCCTCTTATTTTCATTGTGCTGAAACTTGTAATTATCAGATAATGGTTATTATTTCTAATTTTGTTTGATGTATTATTATTTGAATTGAATTTTAGAGAATACACCACTTTGTACTCACACGTTCTAATTTTACTGAGAGCATTAGTTTACTTCAAACGACAGATCGATTTGACTACTATAATGATCAAATTCCAATTCAATTAGTATTTAAAACTAAAGAAGCATGACATAAGTTATTTATTACTCAGTGATCAAATTCTTTATAGGTCCTTCGGTTATAGAAGTTTCATGAGGATGGTCGTTATGAAGCGTATTGTCACAGGCTAATCTCAATCAGGGTACCATTGAAATTCTAAGTATATTGAACAGTTGTTGTCACCCCAGCATTGGGCACCTACAGTTCTTCCAGGAATCGAACCTAGAAATGTCAAGTCTATCAGAAAATGCATAGCTCTGTGTATTACTGAATCGACGGTTTCGCGGTTTTGTACTCTGGAGAAGTTTCATACTGGGACGTAAAAGCAGTCCAGTGGTCGCTTATCTTTACTGGTACCCCAACTGAGATTATTCTGTGAAATAAATGCATGCATTTATAATTCTAGTATATAATGTCTCTCATTTTAGTTTATCTTTCATATTGCCTGTTAGCAGTTAGTAACTTGAGGTCATATAGTTAAGATAATTAATTTGTTATCTTATTAATAAATGTCAGATTAATTTATAGTAACAATCTAGTTATTTTTCAGAAATGTCAAAATAGTTTATCCCTTTTTTTTGGTTTATCATTAGATGGTTATATCAGAAAAATATAGTTACTTTCATGGTTGTTCTTTTGATTTTTGTCTAATCTAAACTTTTGGTTAGTTTTCATACAATAGTATTGTTTATTGTACACAGATTGCTAAATGATACTTACAATTGTCTACCAATATACGTTTATTTTTACAATATGGGGTCGTTGAGATTGTTGGATTTTATTGAGATCCCTAACTGACCAAAAATATACAATCATTGAGAACTGGAAGCACTAGATACCCGTTTGTTTCTAGTACAAGACTCTTTAGCAGTGCGCATCTATCATCACGTACATAGTAATGTAACACAGGACCTTCAATCTCTCGTGTAGATACCTAATATTTAGACTTTTTTTTTACCTTGATCCATTGTTGCGATAATTTGACTTCAATCAACCCATGATATTGCAAGTCAATCTTCGATTGTTTTGGGTAGTTATCTTCATTACACCTGACATGGTTTAGCCTTACTTGTCACAGTTTCTGACTACAACTCTTTAAATTCCTTGTCGAAGTTAGCCACTAGTAATCACATGATCAGTTTGTGGTTTCATTGCAATTGAACCATCTCCACAACCATGTAGTAGTTGTTTCAATGTTATAGTATCATATTGTTTAAAATGTATTAGTTATTTAGTTTAGTATATTAATTAGCCGGTTAGAAAAACTCTGAAATTGACATGAATGACTTAGCATTGATTTCTGATTTTTAAATCTTCTTGGTTACCGTATTTCCACTACTATGACTGTTCTCATTTATTTTATTGGAATATTATGCTGGTGCACATTTTTTCAACTTAAATCCTATGATCTTTGTAACTATCTGTTTACTGTTAGTGGACCATTTATATTTCAAAGAGATGACAATTTGAGTAAGTACAGTACAAATGAAGATGATTTATAAAATTGATTAACCTCAGTATTACATCTTAGGTTTAATTTTGATAATAAGTAGTAGTTGTAGATTTTTAATAAGGGGATCATAGCTAGTCCCAAGTGCGCATATATTCTCTTTCGTTATAGGTTTATCTAACTTGGGTCCCTTGATGATTTTAATAAAATATGTATATATAATTTTAAGAAAATTGCAAAAGTTCTTATTTCAGAAGTGTGTGAGCTTTTGAAGTTCTACATATTGATGTATAAATATGAGATAAAATCGATTGATTCATTGTTATCTTTTAAAACTTTCATAATGTTACGCTAGGTTCTTGTTGAAACTAAGTTACATAAGGAAGTTCTGAATTTCATGTATGATTCAAATCCTTGTTCCGTGCATTGAATCATATACTTACCTTTGAGTCATAGTTGTTGTTTGTTTTTTTTCTTTTAAAGGGTTATTAATACGAAAAATACGTTGAAACGAATGAAGATTGAGTGTCATTTACATTTACATTTGTATAGTTTATTTTGAATCATTATTACTTCCAATCTTTATGTTACATGTAGTTGTTATGATTATTTCATAGATCTCAACTAAAAAACAATTGATTATCCGCTATCCAATAGTTACATCTAACAGTGAATGACTCCAGGAATTAACGTTGCTATTATTATTATTATTATTATTATTATTATTATCATTAAAGTTAGTTTAAGAGCTTCTAGTCATTTGTCAATCTACTCTCTATTGTTTTGTTATATTGATGATTAAACCTTGGGTTGTACACTGTTATTGTATACATATTGTTTTTCTTATTACTATCTTTATTTAACTTATTCTGTTTATTCTATTTAACAGATACCAAAAATATTTGATTTATTTGGTAAAAATGGTGGAGCCTCTTCATGTAAGTCAATATTTATTTCACCTTTCGTTTTATTGATTATCCTACTATAAACATTAAAATACATTTTTTTTTACAAAAAAATATTAAGGGTTACACTTCTACTTCTACTTGAAGTTTGTGCTGCTGATAATGATGTCGTTCGGAAGAACGATGAAAGCTAAGTGATCAAACTATCCAGCTCATAGAATAAAACTCTATCAAAAAGAACTACATTAACTAATGTAACAATAATTTTGAATGATTCTTGACAAATTCTATACAATTTTAATAGTTGAGATCATGAGTCAATTGAAGTTAGACTATCATGGAAAACCTGGAAGTACTGGATGGCCGTTTCGTCCTATTGTGAGACACCTCAGCAACGTGCATCCACGATTCCGCCTCACGAGATTCAAAACCAGGACCTATCAATCTCGCGTGCGAGCGCTTAACCACTAGTTCACTGAGCCGGCCGGCATCCAACGATGTTAATGTCTAACTTCAACCAATCCACGAAATTGTGCGACACATCCACAATTGTCTTCAGTGAGTTACTATCTCACAACAGACCTGGTTGAACTCCATTGATCACTGCTTCTCACTAGAACTGAAGGAAATACCTCTTGAAGCCAGTCACTAGTGAACATATATTGATCAATATCAGAAGGGGTTTGTTATAGACATATTCAGTATAGCACAACTCGATATGTTGGATGAAAAACAAACAAACACAAAAGCCAATGCTTGTAATGAAATCTTTAATGCAAATCACATTTCAATATGTTCGGATAAAACGTAGTGGAAAATGTTGGCTACAACATACTTAGTGAATATTGAAGAATGTAGAGATGTCTCAGTTGAATCTGTACTATAGCAAAGCAATAATTTGATTTAAAAAAGAAAACAAGCATCTCTCTCTCTTTATCATATTATTAAATAAAATACAAACAAATATTTGTAAAAAGTTAGAAATGAACACCGTTGGATGCCGGGCAGGTCAGTGGTGTAAAGGTTAAGCGTCCGAGCGCGAGACTGATAGGTCGTGGTTTCGAATTTCACAAGGCGAGATCGTGGATGAGGACCTTTGAAAAGTCCTCATACTAGGATGAAACAGCCCTCCATTGTTTCCAGGTTTTTCATGATGATCTAACTTCAATTAACTCATGAATTCAACTATTAAATAAATAAATTTATTTGAAGTATAACCCCGCCCCCCCCCAACTTATGCACTACTATTTACAATTTACATTTATTCTATAATAAAGATCTCTTTACTGATGTTTCTATGAATAAAGTGTCGATCATGAATAATATACTGATTGCCATAAAATCAAATCAAATTCAATATAATCTAATTTGATTCATTCATTTATTATCTTATCTGACCTAAAAGAGATAGGCATCTCTAATCAACATCCATACTTTTAATAAGTTCAATAGTAATAATAATAATAATAATGAAATGATTGAAACTTTTTGGAAATATCACAATTTCTCTATATCTCCTTTATTTACCTTTTCACCTTAGAATTAATTTGTTACAATGTATATATATATATATATATATATATATATATATATATATATATTACATAATACTATTTGTTGATCTCTAGACGATATCATCCTATCTATGAACATGGTTATGTCTTGATATAATGTGATTAATTTGTATTAAATAAATTACAAAAATTTGCCAATTTTCATTCATAAATAATAAGGTACATAATTTAATGAAATGCACCCACATATGTATATACATGTATATGGGCATGTGTTGTGTACCTGTGGGTGTGTATGTGTGTGTGTGTGTGCTCGTTGTGTATTCATTGTGAATACATAGATGAATTAATGTGAAAACAATGATGGAACAATTCTTTTACCTTTCTCATTTTGCACATTAATAAACTTCATATATGTGTATTATTATTATTATTACTATTACTATTATCATTATTATTAATACCTTGATTATTAGTGAGGATCCCTATTCCAGTATGAATCTAATTAATGCATTATGCAAGTTAGTATATATAAATATAATTATAATTGTAGTAATATATACAACCGGTATTATTCCGTCTTATCGATTATTAAGTAATCACTATTGCCATATTTGTCTAGTCATAAGGACTTTATGGATCGAATTTTTTTTATGCATAGTATTTATGAAATTGTATTTATTAAGTTAAATAATAGATGACATGAGATTGTTTTAATATTAGATGATAGTAAGATGGTGGTTGGAGGTAGTCAACAGGAAACCCTTGACCCGGGTTACATGCTACTTTGCACTCGTCAGCAAAGTGTACCTGTAATCTTGAGGAAACTGATACTCCCTGACGGATTCGATCCCGTGTCATCCGGTTTCACAGAGACGTTACCACTGGGCGACCAACCCACCCAGTGATCAATCAATTGTGATTAGATGATAGTTGAAGGGGGTTAGTAAATATTATCCCTAAGTAACATTTATGTTCGTTGAAATCTATATGTAAGATTATCTGTGTACAAGAAAGAAATTGATGCTTATGATTTCATCAGTTACGTTTGGAATTATCATTATTACTAGTGTTATATATAGAAACATCTTCAACTAAAAATGTTCGATCAAGTTTATACATTAAATAAAATAGAAACCAAATGTCTATTACTAAAAACTACTGATCATTCATTTATATGTTAAGATATATTCATACAATTGATCATCATATTTAAATGTTAGTTCATTGAAGGTAATCAACAATAAACCGTAGATCTATGTTTCATAGTAGTTGATCGTCATTAACTAGACAAATATAACTGTTATCTTGAAGGAATTGATGCATCTTGTGGAATTTAAACTCACATCACCTATTTTCACATTCTATGACATTATTACTGAGCTATTCAGGTCACAGATGACATCCTGTACAACTGAAACATTTACAATGATTTAGTAACACTTAGAAGATTAGACAAACATAATATTGATTTACTATCCAATTATTATTTAACGTAAATAATTAACTGTTTTATAAATGAACCCATTTAATGCGCTTTCGTTTAAACAGTCATATATTAAGATTAGGTCTCACTTAAAAGATCTAATTTGAAGCTAACTACCTGAATAAATAGTTCCTTACTAAAACAAAACTATGATAATTGTACAAGTTTGATTACGGACAAATATGCACACACACACACACACAAATGAACATATTTTCTTTTTTAATTCATCATATGAATTGAATTAATCTAATTTATAAGTCGTCTATGGGTTAAGTTTTAAATCTAAACAATTCTATCAAGACTATTTATTTATTTAATCATTACATATTGAATAACATCTAAGAAGTGATGAGATTATAATTTATGGACGATCTTTGAATAACTTTATAGAGAGAGTGATCTTGGAAGTGTTCACCTAATAACTAAGATTAAATAAAGATTATAAACCTGTATGAACAATTAGAATTATGTTTTACAATTGATGATTAAAAGTTAGGAATTAAGTTTAATGCCAAAAACGCTATTTCGCTAAATAGATGAATGATTTTCACGCTAAAATCCAAGATCTCTTATCTTATACCTGATTGGTTTGTCCATAAATGATAGTCTCGCCGAAGAATGATATACAATAAGACTATTCCTTCTTCTTCTTCTTCTTCTTCTTGTTCTTGTTCTTCTTGTTATTATTATTATTATTCAATGTACAATTTATATCTTCTTTCTATTAGAGTATATCAAATCACTTTTTATTCTATATTAAAAGAGAAATAATAATAATAATAATAGTAATGCATATTTACAAATATTGCATTAAAAAAATGCAATAATATAAAGAAAAAAGGGAAAAAAAAGAAAAAAGAAAAAAAAAGAAAAGAAACAAACTGTTATTCACTTATTGAATTACTAAAGAAATTTTCTTATACTAAGATTATTTGTCATATCATAATACAATGATATTAATAATAGTACTAATGATAATAATAATAATACTAATATAAGTAGTAATAGATTTTCTCTGTTTAGTTTAACATTGTCAGCGGCTAGGCATTAATCAAATATAAATAAATTTCCTTATCATTGGACATTGTTCATTCTGTCTTTAAGTTAGTTTAATATATGTTGGGCGGTAAATTCATATCTAGTCAAATATATATTTCGCCATGTATATATATATACATATATATGTATATAAGTACTTGTAGCGATATGAGCGTTATAGAACAAAACAATGAATAATCTTAGCGATTGCTTAGATGATTAAATGTATCCTATAATGTTTAAAGAAAAAATAAGAGCGAAATAGAGTAGCAAGGTGTTAATTGGTTTTTTTTCATTGTTGCTGTTGTTCTTTAAGCTCCTTTTTCTTCCTTTATACTTTAAAATAGATATTCTACTAATTTGACATTAACTATAGTACTATCACTACTACTACTAGTACTACTTACAAGTAGTACGTACTAAAGGAATGTTTTCTTTCTTTCTTAAAATGAATTAAAATTAAGGAAAAAAACAACAATTAATTAATTAAATAATTAATTAATCAATTATCTATTATTATATTACAATAAGATGTTTAATGATAATCATGATTTATTTTTCCAAAATGATATTCATTATCCATATTCAATAATTGAAGAACTTTGACTTCTTCTTCTATAAGTCAATGAATAATCACTATGCTGTATTGATGTTTCATCACTGAAATTGTAAAATCTAATTAAAAGTTTATAGGGCAAAAATAAAATAAAACAAAACAAACAAACATTAGGATAGAATAGGAAAGATGCAAATGAAGTTAAGAGAGTACATAAAATAGTTCATATATATTGTGGGATTTGTCAGCAGTTCACATCCACAATCCCGCCTCGCCAGATTCGAACGCAAGACCCATTGATCTTGCGCGCGAATACTTAACCTCTAGATCATTGAGCCGGCCGACATCTAATGGTGCTAATGCCTAATTTTAACTAATCCACAAAATTGAGTGACGCATCTACTATTGTTTTCAGTGCTTACAGGTTTTCCATGGGGATCTAGCTTCAATCAACTCATGATCTCAACTATTGAAATTACTATAATATCTACAATAGCCCCTTCTGATATATATATATATATAATATATATATATATATACATTGGAATATTCTAGAACATTGATACTAGTAAATGAGCAAAAGGAGACGAAGTAGAAATAAGTGGCTATGTAATAAAAAAGACGCTTAACACCTATTCCTTTTCCTTATATTATTCATATGTTAGTTGTACAGCGTATAGCTCGACATAGTTTATAAATATCATACTACTGTCAATGTCATTTTCTTAAAACTTCATTAGTAGTCCGTATTAATATTGCAAAATAATTGTTAGTTATAATTCAATGATCATAAATAACAATTAGGAAGAGTATTCTTAGCAGGCAAGACAACAATTGTTTACAGATGTATAAAAAATCAGAATGATCAGTAAACCTAAGTCAAAACACTCAATTGATTAAATTAACCAAGATAGTTTCGAATTATTGTACTTTTTCCACCATTCAAAGTATCTTATTATCTGTTTCAACTGTTTTGTTTATATTCCGTTCAGAAAGTTATATATATATATATATCCTAGATACATGGCTTGCATTAATTAAGTACCGAATTGTATAGATATTCGTATCAGAACTTTTAACTTTTATTCCTAATCTACTCTAACTCAAAGTAGTTTGTCGTATCGTGTTTAAACAATCCTATGATGAGGCAATGCTTCAGTGGTAAAGGTGTTTGTTTTTTTAGCCACTAAATCTCAGGTACAAATCTTGCTGTGCCTAATTCAATTTGAGAAACGGTATAGTGTCATTAGCCCTTACATTCATTGTGTTGCTCATATCCACGTACTTGGTGAGTAAGTTAAGTTAGTTTTTAATTCACCTTAATCAGTGTACTTCTTCAACTTCACAAAACAACTTGTAGTTTATCACTTGTTTTAAAAAAAATATTCACTCCTGTTCAGTAATTATTTATTTGAATAAAATAAAATAAAGTTTTAACATGTCTTTTCTGTCCATTGTTAGAGATGTCGGATCATTATGCCTTTAATTCTCATTAATACTACTTACATTTTTTAAGAAAAAATGAAAATACATTTCTTTTTTCTTTAGTATTCAAAATGCCATTTCCAACTGATCCTCGATTGGCCAGTTATTTTCTACCTGGTTATCCTGCTGCAATCGCGGCTGCTATGGCAGCTGTAAATGCTGCCTCTTATTCATTATCATCTTCACCATGTTTAACAACATGTTCACCATCATCATCAACATCATCTTCGTTACCATCCATGACTAAACCAACTTCTTCAATATGGAATATGAATCCTGCTGCTGTTGTCGCAGCTGCTGCTGCTGCGGGAACAGCATCTTCTTTCTGGTCAACTGGTTGCAACGGTGGTGGTGGTTCATCGTCTACTTCTTCTGGTTATGCAAGTTCTGAAGGTAGTGGGGGCAGTAATGGTACTAACGGTTCTAATTGGTTCCATCATTCAGCAATATCACCAGGTAGTAGTAGTAGCATAGGTGGGAGTGGAGGTAGCGGAAGTGGGAGCTGTGGTAGTGGTTTCAGTTTCTTACAATATCCTTATCCTCGTCAGCATAATTTATTTAATCAGAAACATTATTTACGAGCATCAAATGATGACGATTTACTTTCATGTATAAGAAGAGAATCACCAAGTTTTGATCGATCAGTATATTTTTCAAATGACAATATTAATAATAATAATAATAACACTAATTTTTCGTATACAGAAAATCATCCTATTGACTACAATTTATCTGGTCAAATTTCGAGATTTTCTAATTTATACAATGATCCTGTCAAGAATTCAGCAAGTTTGGTAAGTATGCCTATATATATATGTATCTTTTTGCTTACTAGTTCTTCTCTTGGTTTTGTATTGTTGGTGTCTTCTTTTTTCGGGAGAGGGGGAAAGGTTTCTGATAGTATATATATATATATATATATATATATATATATATATATATATATAGAGAGAGAGAGAGAGAGAGAGAGAGAGAGTAGAGAAAGAAAATCAAACAAAAAGTTTTTTTGAAAACAATTTCAATTAATTTATTAGTTGTTTTCTCTTTTTTAACAATAATGATTCGTTCACTTGGTGTTGTTTTACTTGTATCTTCCCATTGTTATTCAGGACTTTAATTGATCCGTCTTATGTTGGCATATGTGCCTCTTGTGTGGATTGTCTCGATATTGCTTTAAGTTACAAGCTTTTTAAGCAAAGATGGATAGTGGCTAGCATTGGAATGCAGTTTGACGTCCATTTCATCCTATTTGGGACTCGTCAGTTGGATGTACCTGTATCCCAGAGTCGATATTCAGTTGTAGTCCTAAATAACAATAGAAAAATACAAGTAAAACAACACTAAATGAATTTAAACTTCACCTCATTGCACAAGCAGTTGGCTTTCAGGACTCAGTAGCTAAGTGGATAACGTGATAGCGTTTGAAGTGAACGATACTGGGTTCGAGTCCCAGAGTGAATATTAACTCTGAGATTTAAGTACATCCATCTGACGAGTCCTAAATAGGATGAAACGTGCGTCTAAATGGATTCCACTCCTAACCACTATTCATTTTTGCTTAAAATAATCATTCGTATTACTTTTTAGTTGTTTTATTTGTATTGTCTTTTTTATATTGTACACTTTGTATATATTTGCTTTATTTATTTATTTGTTTATTTATTCAAATGAATAACTTATTACAAACTACTGTCTCTCTTTTGTTTCTTTAGCATTATTCTCTGCTTGTTTTTCGTTTTATTTAGGTTATTTAGTCAAAATTAATGATACACCGTATTGTTTAGTATAAAACTTTATTCAAGATGAATGAATTAAGTTTTAGACTGGATAAAGATTTTAATGATTTTGTAATGAAAAAAGATAGAAAAATATAAAGATCACATTAACAAGCTATCAAGACCACACTGTTTACTTAATTTTCTTTTTCAGGCACTTACATTGGTGTGGTCAAATAAAAATTGAATATTGTCCTTATTCCCGTAATAGCACTTAAGCATTATTAGAATAATTTTACATTTAACACTGTTGCTATGATGTTTAATGAAACAACAACAAAAAAAAAAGTTTTCTTTTTCTGTAAAGGAAACTACTTCAAATCAGGTAGGATTAGTAGTAATCGTATAATAAAAAAAATTGTCTGAAACCACGTATACATTCCGTTCATTACTCCACTTCTTATCATTACGCTTATAAGGGTGAATAATCAAAATCAAAAATGTTTCATTGGTGGCTTTTTCAGTAGTATAGGTATTATATATATATATATATATATATATATATATATATATATATATATATATATATATATATATATATGTTAAGTTGATAAAAGCCATTACTCTTACCATGTTTATATATCTGCTTGTCTTTTAGCTAGATATGTTCTCAATTTGTCAACTTAATAAACGTGAAATGTTATCATCATTGTGAATGCTTATCATTTTTCCCACATTCTGATATTCATTCATTCAACTGATAGAATTAAAAGATAGAGATTGTCAAATGTAAATTTAGTTTTGATCATAGATCGACATCAACCGACAAAACTATTAAAAACCTGAAATCATTTTATTAACAATGTATTTATCCAATTATTTCACAAAAGATCCAAATCAAAAGTATTATAGTGATTATAATATGTTTTAAGGTACTAAATATGAACCTAGTATATTCTTATATGATCAACTGTTATCCATTTATGTTATATAACACAACTATTATTCACTAGATAAATAGAAAAGTAATCATAGCATATACAGAAATAGATGTTGTTTGAACGTGAAATTCACGATACAAGTTTCACCCTACTTAGGATTCATCAACTTTATATATCTGATTCTCAGAAACAGATTAAAATTACAATTCTAAACATTAATGATAAGTTTCAAATAAATAATACAATCTTAAAAGGAACAATTTCTCCTATTTTATATAATGATAACAAACTTGTTTCATCTTATATTGTCTATAAATAAATAAGAAAAGTTATACATATTATGATAGGCACAAGTTTGTTTTATCCTAGAAAACATGACAATGATTTAAACTCCACAATTGCGGTGTGATAGAAGATAACATTTATACTGTTTGTTAACATTTCACATTCCTATCTGAATGTAGTTTGTTCTTTGAATGAATGTATAAACAGACTACTGAATGATGCTCTTTTTTTCACTCTCTCTCTCTCTCTCTCTCGTTTATTTACTCTTTACTCTTAATCATTGTCATAGTTGTTCGGATTTCATGTTGACACCTGTTTGTTTGTTTTCTTTTCATATGACATGACATGATTAAGAAAATTGATCTAAATCATATGAAGTACAAGTTCTTTCTTGTTGTTGTTGATTCAATTATTCAGTTTGTTCTTTTCTTTATTTATTCATTATTGTATTTATTCTGTGTGAAGTATATTTGAAGTGATATTATTAGTATTATCACTTTGTTTAATCCGACAAAACAAAATCTTGTTAATAAATCAATATGGAGAAAAAGTGGATGGTAAAGCGACAAAACAGGTTGCATTACCAATAATAATAAAGATTATAGGTATCCCCCATATCGTCACGAAAAAGTGTCATTCAAGCAAACTCTTAGTATATATATATATATATATATATATATATATATATATATATATATATATATATATATATATATATATATATATATATATGATAGAACTTGGTCTCATCGAACCCTTCTTTCTTCTTCTTCTTCTTCATTTTAACGATATTTATCGGCGTATTTCTTTCTTTTATTGTTCTATCCATACTTAATCAATAGAAACCTCAAGATTATTAAAGTCAATTCGAACTAACTATTATTTTACCACATGCAAATATATCATCTATACATGGTCTTATGCTTTACACGCCCAATTTATTATTATTATTATTATTACTATTATTGCGCGAGCACTCATTAATCTTATTATTCATAGTTATTAAAGAATAATCTATACTAGTCATTGTTTATAGGTGACATTATACAACTCTATAGAGCATGTAAATACAATTGAAAGTTCTTTCTTCTTCTTCTTCTTCTTCTTCTCCATCGTTCTTTGAATAGAAGGAGTAATGTCAACAATAGAGAATAGTCGGGAAGAGTAAAAATAAATAAATAATAATACTAATAAGTACGGAATAGGAATAGTCACTTGTTCACTTTTTGTTCAAATTCAATTATACATGCTCACATACAAATTTGGCATTAGTGACCCCGCCTCTTTTTCTCGCCTTTTTTATTTATTTTATATATTTATATTATTTATTTATTTATTTATTTATTGTTTGATTTCATTATTATTTCTTTGAAGAAAATAACTTAGATATATGTATTAAGTATAAGAATATGAATAGAAGTGAGAAAATGAAATTCCGAAATATAAATTTTGTATATAAAGCAATTCCTTTTTAAAAGCATTAATAAAATGAGACTGATAGGTTTTGAGTTCGAATCTCGTGAGGTGGGATTGTGAATACGCGCTGATAAAGAGTCTCATATTAGGATGAAATGGTCATACAGTGATTTCAGGTTCTTCATGATGGTCTAGATTCAATTGACTCATGAATTCAATTAATTAAATGTGCAATATTAATGGTACTTTGTTTTCGTCTTTTTTTTTTATAAATGTAAAATTAAACTTGTATTAAGTGAGTTATTTAATATGATTCCTATACAGATTAGATGATTATGCATTGGCTAGTTTAATATATACAGTAGATATTTTTCTTTTATTTGAATTAATCTTATATTGTAGGGACTTATAAGATATTTCATTGAAATCATGAACCTAATTTAGAAAATCATTGGAAACTTGAAAGCATTAGATGGCTATTCTGTCCTAGCATGAGACTTCTCATCAGTGTACATCTACTATCTTGCACTCAGAAAATCGAACTAAGAACCTTTAACCTCGTTCACAAACGCTAAGCCTCTACACCAATAAGTCGGTATTTAACAGCTTTAATGTCTGACTTCAATCAATTCACGACATTGATATTGTCTCAGTTGAGATGTAAGCGTTATTTACTGGTTTTCGTTTGTATTGTTATTCTAAGTGAAAATTCAAGATATTGAATGTACAAAGATTACCACTCCTGCATATTTTGATATTCATGAGCATAAGCACTTTCAGGGAATGGTGATAGTCACCTCTTCCTAATATTTGCTACTTTATCCTCTTATTATGTCTTCGACCTGTTTTGTAAGACTACTGGTTTTTTAGACATAGGGCAGACACTCAGCTTGTTTTCCTTGTGCTAACCCACGCGTGTACCTTTTGCATATCTGTATAAATGAACTAAACAGGTTGCGACTCAGTGGACTTCATATTCATAAGCATACACATCGAGCATCCTACAAGATTTTGGTGAGCCCTCAAATTGAAACCCAATTAATTCAGTTTACATCAGAGTGGTGGATTAGTCCGATCTCCTCCGACCGCCCAAATTGGTTAACAAGGTTCCTCTCACCATCCACCAGTGCCATAAGGAGTCTGTGTGTTAAATTTTACTGCTGTAAGAAACATATTAAAAGGTAACCTGTTTGAAACACGATAAATTTGTGTAACCTACGCATATCCTCTATTTTGATGGAGTTTTGTTCTCTGAGCTGGATGGTTTGGTCGTGGAGCTTTCATCGTTCTTCTGAACGACATCATCAGCACAAACTTCAGATAGAAGTGAAGTGTTCGAATTTCTCCATATGCGTTTCACAGCTTGTTCTGTGCACCTCGATGTTGATTGGTTCTTATTGACCTTAAATTTGTCATTGTTTACTCATACTTTTCTTG